AATGCCTCATGAGCAATCCAACATATCTAAATCGACTTTCTAAATACCAAGTTTGTGTTCAGGACAAGAAAATGATAACTTAGGGATTCTCCACTTGAGAAAATTGATTGCAGGTTTTATCTCGCCATTGTGCACGCATGAGAATCATTGCCAATTTATAATCGATGGTTTCTTCCATGTTAAATGTCCCTTTCTAATAGAGAGTGATATAAAATGTGATCACAGCAATTACTTTTTTTATTTCAACCAGTGCAACAAGAGATTTACTGTTAAATCCAATAAGAGAAAAACTGCTGAAAGTTGGATTCATTACATCGAACATGTCATGTAGATGTCACCTTATATAATGTACGTTAATCCTGCTTTCTATTGTGACAGGATAAATTGCAATTTACCTAAAAAAATATTCTAAAGCTTTTTTAAATCATGATAGGATTAATTATCTGCACCACTGCCGTATAATTCCGATGACAGTCTTCATCTTCCAAATACATTAAAGAACAAACATCGTAATCACACACTCATGAGTCATGACTCATCAATAAAAAATCCTTAAGGTGTAGTATATATATACTAGTACTTACTTTCATTAGCCAGGTTCTTTCAACGGAGGACAAAAAATAACTAATTTCAGAAGACATGCATGGTGAACAAGTCTCTATTCCGTGCCATGAATTCATGCATCCATATCTCATCTATCTGTCAGTGCCTCTTGGAGAAATGTATCTTAAAACCAATGATTTGCACAAAGAATAAGACCATACATTCCCCTCACTTCCCTCTGTAGACATATACTAGTATATCTTCAATCTCGGAATTCAATCAAACAGAACTTTTTCCCCATCCTCGAAGTTGATAAACCAGGCTGCTAGTAACGTACTTCTCTCTTTGAGTCTACAGATCTATAACCAAAACCTACAGATTTACACAAGACATTGAACCACAACACAACAACACATGTTCCAAATGATTTGAGTCCACAATTTACAGAATATTGGTACAAACTGGACATTTCTCAAGAGGGGATTTTGACCAAGGGCTATGAATTGATGAATATATTCTACAAACCAGCCTTAGCTGTCCTTACATACTGCTGGCTTAATCTGAGAATAACACCAAATGAGCAAATGGCTTTAAGCACATTACTCTGAAGTTCCAAATAATTGTACTGCCCGAATAATCAAACTGTGTGGAAAAATGTTTGAAAATTAATAACTGTACCATGCAGAATTTATTATAACTGTACTGCATGGAAAAATCTCTCAAAATTTATAATTGTACGAAACAGAAAAATTGCACTGCATGGAAAAGGTAGGCAATTCCAATGTGCATTGTGAAAAGAAAAAAAGCAGGTTTTTTTTCAAAATATTATCTGTATATCATGTTTTATTCATCATTTAAGCATAGTAACAAGAACATGTAAATAAATAATACAAGTTCATAAATTCCATTCATAGATGAGCCAAAGGGGGTAAAAATTGATCCTCAATGACACCTCAAATAAATGGTCAGCTGAAAATACAAATCTTGCTGTAAAGACCCAGATAAATACACTGTCAATGAGATGGGAAATTATTGTGCGCAATTGATTTTTGCAGTCTGAATCAATAGATTACATGTGCATTTCAATTGCAATTACCCATGGTAGGGGCCTTAAGATTTAAATGATTCCAATAAAGAACACAGTATCAATGATATTACCTAAAATACTCTATGGTGTAAAATACATGGTGAGGGATTTACACAGTACAGTACTAGTAAAAACATGACCACAGGTGAACTCCAGATTGATGATACTGTATATTGGCTAGATAAAGAGTCGAGATTACACTGTCCAATGCATTGGCACCATCAGCATCAAAGAGGGCCCAGATCATGGATAATGGTGCTGATAATGAAGGATTTGAATGGGTATGGAGCATCAGAATGCAACTACTAGTATCTTTTCCACTGCATTGAGAGACCAGGAGCAAAGATAACACTGACGGCAATGCTATGGACTGGCAAAGGACTCCAGAATGCATCTGTCCACTGTATTAGCTTTGTCAAAATGCATGATAATGATGAGAACCCACTGTAAATTGGATATATACCAGGCTATAGTATCTGGTGTGATTTCTCTCATGGTCTGTTTGAAGGTCTACAAGCAAAAGAATCAAAAGCCATCACTAGAAGCAGTTTTTAATTACTACAGACCTCTAGATAACCTTCACAGCTGAAGTGACTGGACTTTTTACTGAAAGTGAAAATTTTTTTTTTTCTTCTAGTGGGGCACTGCAGATGGCAAATGTGTTTCTTAGTAGTGATAATACTGGGAATACACTTACCACAGCTGCCCAATAAGTCTTTCAGCAGTAATCGTTTATTCTATATTAAGGACATGAAATCAATCACCACTCTCATATTTAATAAATGCAATATATTTATTATCTCTAAGTTGTATTATAAAGCTCTATGAATGTTCAATCATTGAACTTTCTAGCAAATGAAGGTCTTCATGAAATGCATGGTCCTGCACAAGTTAGAAAATGTGCATTGGTAATGTTTTTATCTTTCAAACAGGGGTTTCCCCAGGATTTTGGGTACAGGGAATCCAAAATGTTAATCTGTAATTTTATAGGGAGTCCAACTATAAATATACCATAATTTCCCAATAATTCCATACTGTAAGTCGTCCAGACGTCTTTAAAAATGTAGGTCATCTTGTCAGGTCAGTGGCCGGATGACTCTCTGGAGAAAGCCTTGATGGAAAAGATAAGTTTTTAAAGCTACTTGCTTTCAAAACTTATCTTTCCCAATCTATACTGTGAATATCATTACTTTGACTTTATTTTTTACTCTGTCAGATTCTTCTTATAAAATCTAATGACAGCTAAACTTCAAATAAAATAGCTTGGTTAATTCAAACAAGTATATACTGTAGATAACAGAAATATTGCTGTTCCTTACTGCTCATGCTGTAGTCCCAAGTATGAACAAGGTAATCACATGCACATGGGGGGGGGGGGGGGGGGGAAGGTTACCTGTAAGGATGTTTACTATGTCTAGCTCTTTTCCATGGTAATACATGATCATGTTATAGTATATATCTGCTGACATAACCTAGGAGATCTCAAACATGTGCCTCATTAATTCATTGATTACACCAAGGCTTTTGATACTGATAGTGAAAGTAGGATGATGTACAGTGAAATATATTACTAGGTTACTAGTATATTATCACTGATTAAACCTTAGAAACTGGCATGATTTGATTTTCACTGCCTTGCTGGTGAATGAATCTGATGCCACGCCATAAACAAGCTGTACCAATTTGTTAAGTTGGATCATCAACATCAGTTACCTACTAATATAATTTGCTTTTATGTTACCGTTTTTTTTTTTGTTTGTTTGTTTGTTTGTTTGTTTGTTTTTTCTTTTTTTTTTTGGTGAAAAACTGTTTCCCATGTTTATTTATGACTGAACTTGTTTTTTCTATTGCATGTGCACTTTAGGATGACCCAATGGGGGATTAAAATTTTAAACCTTACCACTTAAATATTGAATGACTTGAGAGAAAATACCTGACTTGACTAGGGATCAAACCTGTGACACCCGTTACCATAAGAGTGCTGTACAAGTGCTATACCTACTGAGAACGCATTCAAAACAGATGATCCATAGACTAACTGATCCTCAGACTAAATATGGCAACCCCACATAAAAGCAGCTTCCCTAAATCCCCTGATGGTCTCCCTGCCTCTACTTGCAACATTAAAGATTGAATCTTGGCTCCAAGGTTTAATTGCAAGGCCCGCAGCGACAGCGGATGTGGAGGCAGGAAAGGCCATCAGAGGGTTAACCGGTGCTGCTTTTAAGTGAGTTGGCCATATTAAGTCTGCTGACCTGTTAGTCCACAGATCACCTTTGTTCTGACTGCCATCAGAGTCTGGGACCCCATTTCCATAGATTTTTAGATCGATCTATCCCTGTGGGGAGTCTCACTAGATTACTGTCAGCTTGGCCGGCTTAAGCGTCTGTCCCGCCTACTGAAAGCTGTAAGGGGGTAATTAACTATGGTGCCCGCTCGGCTGACTGCAATTTAGCGTGAACCCCCAGGGAGTTAGGTCGATCTAAAACTTAATCTTTAGATCGATCTAAATCTCTGGGAAAGCACCCTGGGACAACCCCGTTTGGCCACTACAATATTATGATCCAATCACCAAACCAAAGTTTTTGTCTCCCAGATAACGTTTCCTATATGCATTCATTTACAGGGTAAAGGTATCCCAGTCATAACAACTATTTTTGCAGTGATCCAGGTAATTTAATTAACTGCCCACACGCTATATAGCCTAGTCTAGGGTGGGCCTGAAATAATGTAGGGAATGGATCTTTGTTTTTTTATGTATATGGGCTCATTTGAAAATTAAATGCAAATATTCTGATCTCGGCTTCAATTTTATTTGGCTTCTTGGTATCTATGGCAGTGTCGTTCCTATCATTATTGTACTAATTTCAATAGTTGAATGGCGATGATTGTTTTGAAAAATATGCGTGACCTAATTATTTCGACGGGGGATTTTAATGATTTCTAATGACTCTCATTGAAATAAGAACGAGACATTCAAACCTAAGAGCTAGAACATACTTCTCGTAGTACTCACCATAGAAACCATTGATAGGGAGAGTCTTTTTCTTTCAATGAAAACATCTTGTTTAATAATATTTTCAAACTTTCCCGTCAACGACCTCCATTTCAATCGAAGTTCCGGTAAACAGCGCGTGCGCGAGAAGCATTTCCGCTTCAGGCAACATTAATCAAACTCAAATAATATTTGATCGTTAAAACGGAACTGTTAGGTCGCCGAAGTCAAAAGAATAAAGCAATAAGTCAGAAATTTGGTGTTTTGATGAGATATTGGTTTAAATTTTAAATTATTGCCAAACTGATTGCTTTAATGAATCGAAATTTCTGCTAGCTCGATTATGCGTGCCTCAGTAGCGGCTTCTGCAGGTCACGTGACTAGAGCTTGTTAGTCTAAATCAAAAAGTTGAGTGAATATAGCTACACATATAAGGGACGGTAAAGAAGGAATAGGAAAGGCAGATATCTGATCCAAACACCTTTTAGGTTGTTGATTATCGGTGCTTCTGCAGAATGGGTAAGTCAGTGTAACGATCAAGGCATTTGTTTAAAAGTTACGTTTAAACTGGGGTCCCGAATGTCCATTCCCGCCATGTCTTTTCTCTGGGGGACAAAGGAAACGGTAAAACCGATTTATCAAAAGTCTTTGTTACATCAGTTGACACACCAGAGAAACCCTTTATCTACCCGGAATGAATATGTTCACGTGTATGCACTGTATAGCAACAGCGGCTCTGCAAAATTTATGATTTGTAGTGTAAATCTCAATTAACCTACTAAAAAATTAAAAGACCTTGTCCCAACAAAACAGGGCATTCAAGTTAAAGTGCAGGGACTTTGTTTGATATTGATTGGTGATATTGTCTTACCAATATAACTGCATGTTGTAATAGAGTGCACAGAATTGTTTTTATTTTTATGAGATGTTTTGGTAATCCTAAATGATTGTTTATTGCAAACATTGGGTTGATTGTTCTAGATAAGATTTTTAATTGCAGTAGTTGTTTTGATGATAAAGTCCCACAGGACAACAAACAAATCGTTTCTTGGCAGTGGCATTTCTTTAATTAAAAATGGGATTTGCATTAGCCAGTGTGCTGGGCATTAGGATTGAAGAACATTAATTTTATTGTTGTATACTTGTCGTGTACAGTTGTATTTACTGTTTTAGATGTTTTTGTTAGATTCACCTTTGTTTTTAAATCATTGCTTTGCATACACCAAAAATGATACTGTGAAATTCAAAATTCTGTTGTCCTAAATTTGGGCCTATTAAGTACTAATTTCATGCTTAGTGAAACCAGTCTCATAATATATTATTATTATTATTTTTAATGATTTTTTTTACAATTATTATTATTTCAGATGGCATAGTGAGAAATCGAGGTCGAACTAAGCTTGATGCACAGGGTAAGCCCACGAGGAGGAGAAAGAAGAAGGATCCCATGGCTCCCAAGCGCCCAACCACTGCTTACTTCTACTACCTGGCAAAGATGAGAGAACAGTTTAAACAAGAGGGCAAACATGTGTCTAATGTGAGATCACAAAGCATTTTTACCTTAAAATACTTATATCCCTAGTAACTTAGAGTAGCTGTGAATTATAAACTTTTTATCTAACTATTTATTTCCATTAAAACATGTTAAGGCTTATGTTTGAAATAGTTTAAAAATGAAAGCTGCTCCTGTGTTAAGCAATTTAAGATATAAGTATAGAGAAAGACTAATGCACAGGATAACCAGTTGAATAATTTAAGGACCTTTTCCAGTCTCACAAAGATATAATGAAAAATGTAGAAATACAAAGGAGATAGATTTCAGTTAATTTTATGTTTTGTAACTCTATAACATTTCTGTTGTCTGTTGTTGTATATTACTATTTTCAAATGACATATTTGCATTCATACAGATCTATTATTTTATTTAAGTTTTTTTAAGCCCATATCTGCCTTGTAGGTTGGTGCATTCACAAAAGAGGTGTCCAAACAATGGAGGGAACTCTCTGCCTCAGAAAAGAAACCCTTTGAAGCACTGTCAGATGATGACAGGAAGAGATATGACAGAGAGGTGGGTATTGGGTGAATGGTTTGGAGACAAGGAAAAGCTGTTAATCTCTCTCTCTCTCTCTCTCTCTATATATATATATATATATATATATATATATATATATGATCAGAGGAGGTAATTGGCCAGATAACCTACTATTTTGGTCTCCCTATTTCAGTTTTGACCGGCTCTTTTTTCCCAAAACTTTATATTAACAGAGCAAAAGGAGCTGTGGCAGTATATCTTGGTAATTTGAAGAATTTGGACACAATTGCCAAGAGCTTTTGCCCTGATATTACTGTGCACTGGGTCACTCACCATCACATTGAAGTCCCCAGATTCAGAAAAAAATCTCTTAATTAATTTTTTTCTTTTAGATGAACATGTACAGAAAGCCAAAAGACCCCAATCAGCCCAAGAGACCTCAGTCAGGGTACTTTCTGTTCCTGGGGGACTTCAGGACGAAGATGAAAGGAAAGGACCTAGGGCATAAAGCTATAATCCAAGAAGGTGAGTTTGTAGGAAGAGTTAAGGTGTACTTGGAATAGATGAATAGTTGTAACAACGGGAGCATAATAATTGTCATTGGATGACAGCCTTTTTGTAACCAAGAGATTTGATGTTATATAGGCAATGGAGTCCTAGTATTCAAGTAATTCAATTGTAAGTTTGCACAATTTCTGATGATATCATTATTGTAACTCATCCTTGTCCATGTCAGTACTGCTGACCATAAAAAGAATCCATTGATTTACCAAATATAATGCCATTTTACTGTAACAAGAGATATCCCAGTGTTATGTAATGGGTGGTATATTCAAAACTGTTTTTGTATATACCTGAAGCAAGGATTAAACACTGGGTCATAATATTGCTGGTGATGGTGGGCGATACTTCTGAGAACAACAGATGGCACAGCTTGGGTTGTGTGCTCCTCAGAGAGGTCTGGGCAGTTAACTGCAGAGAGCGGAGATTTTTTTGGGGAAAAAAAAACTTTATTTACTTAGTTATCCTCTTAGAACCGTGATTGGCTCATAAGGCTTGCCAGCATGTGACCTTTTTGAGGGCTATTTAATAAGTACTCCTAGAGTCCTAGGTGCCACAACCTTTAACAGCAATGTCACCCCTCTCCCGCCATTTTTGCTGGAGTTGAAAATATTTCAATATTGAAGAGATCCGTCAAGACTGGGAGTAAATTTTCAACCTTACCTCATCTAATTATGTGCTGCTTTAAACTTCACAGCTGGAAAAGCCTGGAATGCCATGGACGCAGAGGCTAAGAGACCTTACGAAGAGGAGGCACAGAAGAAGAGGGATGAATACGAAAAGACCATGACAGCTTACAGGGTAAGAGGGCATAGATGTTATGTCAGGGAGAGAAAGATTGCTCCTGCAACATTTAATATTATGATCAGAAACATAACAATTTTCCTTAAAAATAAACAGCAGAAGAACAGTCTTCCTCTTTCATAACACTTAACCCCTGCCCCCCACCCCACAAGTGTGCACGCACATACACACACCTCCCTTATCAGGTGTGTTGGTAGGGGTTTTGAAAACTTCATCCATTTGAGTGATGTCATTTTGATAAAAGGTACTGAGAAAAGCAACAATAGAAATTTCGTAGATATTTTAGTATATCAAATCATTTGATTTTGGTATTACTTCTCTATTTTGTTATTCATGAAATGTTTTATTGATTTTCAGAAAAGTAAGATGGCTAACAGACAAGGAGAAGCAAATGGAGGGGCTGCAGCGAGTCCGCCCGAAGACGCAGAAGATGATTTTGAAGAGGATGATGATGACGACGACGATGAAGACGACGAATAAATCAAATGACTTTTTTTATAGTAGAGTAGATGGAAAGATCTGAAACAACGTGCATTTATTTTGATCTGGTCATGAGCTACGACTTCTTTCTCCAGAATTAAAAAATGATAAGGTTTGTGAGGACGTGAATTGAAAATGGTAGTCATTAGAACCTATACACCATGGGAATGATGGTAAGTTTTCTAGAAGTGGAAAACTGGGAAAAGCTCACAGCATAACACGGTGAACCTGGACAGTTCAGCTACTTAATTGTGTTAGAGAGAGTGAAGAAAAGCTGATTGACTCTGGAGCTTAACTAGTGACTTATGAAGTAGCCACCTTATCTAGTCTGCAGATTGAAAAATAAAATATCTTGGAAGTGCAAACTGCAGTGGAATAGAGCTCTCCAGTCTGTAGTGTTATTATGTATCTGGATGTATCCACAGCAGGTGGTCATTCCAAGTAGATGCTGTAGTCAGACTTATCCTTAACCAGGGTCATATGGTCTACTGTGTGGGCCACTACATATGGATAATGTAAAAGAAGATGCTGGAGAACACTGGTTGTAGTCCCAGGAGTCTGAATTCTGTAAAAAAAAAAAGTACATGTTTGTAGTGTGCATACTTATACATATATATTCATTTTTATTATTATTTGATTAGTCATGTGACCTCAATTTTCTAACCTACTTATTCAACTTTTTTTTTTTTTTGTCATCTGAACATTGAATCTGGATAATTTTTCCATAAATGGATGTTTTTTTTAAATTGCTGTTATTGCATGTGGAACCCAGAAATCTTTTTGAACAAAATGTCATTCTCTTTCAAGAGACAGTATACAGGATTTTGGAGCAGAAGAAACTTCTACGTCAACAAAAACGTCGTGCTACCTTCTGCTCATCAAATACAGCAGGGTCAAACCTCAGAACCACCATATTAATGTGTTTTTTGGACTATGTGAACTATTACTCGCATTCACAAAGCGATATTTGCTTTGCTTAAAAAATGCAATTTCAGAACGGTGCCAGTTTCATTGCTTTAAGCAAGTTTGGTGTATCTTTGGAATAAGTATAGATCTTTGAAAGGTAAAGTGGAAAGATTTGTAATAATGTCAATCCTGTATACTGCCTTTTAGATAAGCATGCATGATTTTCTGCAAGCAAGATTGAAAAAAATATTGCTGTTTAAAATCAACAGTGATTGTATTATTTTGCAAACTAAAACTGGCAAGAAAATTAAATGTCATGGTTATACAAATCATAAAACCAGACGAGTGAGAATTTTTGTTGATTTTTGCTGGAATGTAATACTTGTAGAGGATGATATGGTTGCTTGTCCATGAACATACATATCTGCTCAGGGATACTTATGAAATATACTTTTGTCACTGTCCATTGCAGAGCACCCTTTCCAGATTTTTCCCCCCTTTAGAATTTACAAAATTGAATGTACACTTTAAATGTGGAGTGGTGTAATGCTTTAAAATTTAAGAATTGTCTGTGCAATCTGTACCAGTGCCAGCTTTAGGGAAAGAAATAGGACATCAATTGCTCTTTGTTGATTAGAAAAAAATATTGCTAACTTTTTGTCTTGAATTGCTGACATATCTTCTCTTTCACTGAACAAAACCATTACAACTTTAAAAAATGGATGTTTTTTAATTTTTATTTTTAAAATAATGTGGTCACAATTATGTCATTATTTGTAGAGAATGTGCTATTGTGTACAGACAGTGTTTTTAAATTGAATTTTTTTTCAATGTTGAGGCCAGTTTTTGAGGCAACCCTCCACCTGATATGATGGATATAAGAACTGCTATTGTACTGTTGGTTAAAAAAATATTGACCAAGGTAATATATCATTCAGGATTTGTATGTACACAAAAAAGAATGTTTACTCAAAATTTAGAAATCTCTTAAAAGCATACAAGATTTGTCAGCTTTAAATTGTCATGTTTTAGTTAAAATTGTAAACAAAATTCTGAATTGTCTTGTAGAAAGCTTCTGACTTGTATTTGAAGCGATAGAAAAATAAAGGTTTTATATCTCGTGTAACTTGAACTTCTTTGATCATTTCAGTTGTTTGAACTGAAAAGAAATTTATATGTAAATGTTAGGCAGTTTTTTTAATAACTTGTTTCTCAAGCTCCGCTGACCTCAAAATGGGGGGGGGGGTTTACATAAGGTAAAACAATATTAAGTGTGATAACACTGTCCCATGGAATTTAATCATTTTATCTCAAAAATATTTTGGTCTGTTGGGAAGATGGAGTAAAAATTGTACACACCAAAAGTTTTTCAATTGTTTTCGTTTTATGGATAAACTAACACAAAATTGAAAGAAGCATTTTCTAATTGAATATCACTCTGCAGCACTCCTTTTTGGCCGGGAAAAGGTGACACCGTGCATCAACATGTGATCAATGTTTTATGTCATTGTGGCAAAAATGATCAACTTTTACAAAAAAGAAAAAATATGCCCTCCCGTTTGAAATTGATGATCATTTTTAACTCTGGATTTTTATTCTTGAACCTCTGTACACACCCAAACCCAATATAGAGGTGCATTTCACATGCTGAAGTGCCAAAAAATGAATGAATTCAAAATTGTATTCAATATTTCAAAACATGTATGTGTATAGAACAAAAATCCACGACTGTCTCAACTGAAATTCAATTTTTAATTTTTACCATGTCTTTAACATTACGCAAAGAGCCCTATATGGTAACGTATGTTCCAAAAACGTACGGTAACTTAACGTATGTTCCTTGCCATTTAATTTTAATTTTTATGCCGCGTTCCGATATATTTTTAGTGGTTCAGTCATGCTAAATAAGACATGACGTAAGGCCGTTTTTATAAATCGTTTAAACTGTATCTCAAGGGGCTTTGCGTATGTTCCCTAGAAAAATGGTCAAAATGTTTCATTTTGTTCAAGTACTTGTGTGCAAGAGATAGAATGTTTTCTTTTGCTGACCGAACAAATATATATATTGTGGTTCCATGACATTTCTGATATAATCTTTGGATCATGAAGGGAAAATCTTTTTTATTTAATCATTTTTTAAATATCTTGTTACAAGCAAACTAAAGTCGCTCAAAAACAATTAAATGCTCTATACAGAAGATTATTATAATTTTTAGCAACGTTATACTTCTAGGAGATAAATCAATGAACAATGCCAGTGATGACTGAACTTTCAAAGTGAGTAGAACGTTTCACAGTTGGACGTTTTGTATTTGTGACAGTAACGTACGTATGTTCCTTTTTGGGGTTAAACGATGAATTATTTTTAATAATTCATGGTTCCAGGAGAGTGGAACTTTTATACAAGCTTCTTCATGTGGGACGTACCCTAAAATAATCAAACACAGTTAGCAATCTGTGCAGTAAATATTTTAACAACATGCTTGTGACATCAATTGCACTTCTATATTGGATTTGAGTGTACATGTACAGTGCACGTTTTCCTCTTTCTCCCCATGTGTCAGTGGGGGATTCGTGGTATCCAATCAGCCCGCCTGAGATGTTGTCACGTGATCGAAATTCCCCGAATCCTAAAATAACACGTTTTGCCGTTGCCGGTGCCATGTTTGTTCTTTGCAGGGGGAATTGCTGCAAACAAAGTTGAAATGGTATGTAATTTGTTCATAGTGTGTGTGAAGAACTGTAGATCAAACAACAACTGTAAAGTTGGCACGGCGATAATGTTCACTATATAGAACCTTCGGACCAATGAACCCTTGTTTAAAAAATCGATAAAAATGTTACCACTTTTCGGACCAATGAACCTTCGGACTATCGAGACGCCCCCGTCAAAAAGGAAGTCATTTTTGGCTGTGCTTAAAAGTTATTGAAATGTAGAACGGACTTGAAAACCATTAACTTTTCTTTATTACTTTTATTGAAATTCAAAGACTTTGTTTTTATTAGACTATGCTAACGTTTTGATATAATGGAAAATCTTTAGATCTAAGTGGTGGACTGTGATCTAAACGAAACCAGAAATAGTTTTAAATGATAATAAATGTTTAGGCCTATGTCTGGAATTTTCAGGGCAACTCTTACTCACAAATCAAGTCATGTGATTCAGTACATTTCAGAAGGAAATATCGACGTTGGGTGTTTTTATTTAAGTTTTTTTTTTATATCCTTTTTAAATGTAATGAATACATGTACAGTGCATGTACATTATATACCAATATTTATAGCAAGGATGTACCAGTGATCCAGTGTACGTACAAAATATGACGTTTCCGTACATATTTTTATCAAATATTTGATATTCAATATTTGATATTGTTTCAGAGATGCTGTCCAAGGGAAAAACAGTTATATATAAAGTACTGTCTCAGTATGTTGATTGGTCAGAAGGTTAGATAATGTGAGAAGGCTGCAAAATTGTTCTCCTTCAACTGTTGAAGAAGAATCGCATGGCCAGTTGATGTGCAACTCTACACATTTGCAAGGAAAAAGGTTTGCCCCTTCATTAGTACAGTTTGTAATATGGGAAAGAAAAGTGGAAAAAAAGGATTGAAAAGCATAGGATCAAAACATCTTGCCTCAATATGAGAACCAAGTCAACCAGGCAGTCCCTGGCATTTTCAGCCTCTTAATTCTACTGAACATCGATTTAGCTTATAAATAGACCAAAAACCATGGTTTTCTTATGATATGTTAATATATTTATTATCACAGAAGATTCCAATTATAATAACCAAGAAGTATTTTGGTAGAGCCCATTTTACAAATTTCATAACAAAATTCCTTATATGTTTTTTAACAAAACGTCATTCTCTCTTAAGTAAAAAGGATTTTGGAGCAAGAGAAAATTCCACGTGTCCACAAAAATGTCCTGAAACTTTTTGTCCATCACTTACAGCAAGGTTAAACTCCAGAACCACCATATCAAACGGCGTACACAAACTCAGACATTTGAATCCTGTCCAGGCACATGTTAATTATTTGTAAATTGATTTTGCCCATGTTTCAATTATGAACCTATTTTTATATCAGTGTTATCTCATTTCAAAGCTATTGGCTCAATTATTATACTTAACAGGCACTGGAAAACATCTTTTTTGTATTGGATAACATGAAAGACTTTTTTGTCTTCAGATTAATTTGGGCATAAGTATGGCAGATCAGCAAATTCCCCATAAAGCTAATGCCCAGAGGAAAACTGGACTAGGAGGTGGAGCCAAAGGTGGCAAAAAAAGGAAAGGTAATCACATAATAATAATAATAATAATAATAATAATAATAATAAATTACGTGGGCATATTCCATTTAAATTTCAGCATGCCTTACAAATTGTGAATTATCTAAAACACTATCAAACATGTCAATGACAATATGAAAAACGCACACAAAAAAATTGAATAAAGTAACATACCAACATTTAGCAGATTTTATTTATAATAATAATATAGCTATTACTTTCTGGATCATGGAATTTATTTATTTATTCACTGAAGCATCCCTTGCTCAGGTCAGAAGTTTGTAACTTGCTTGGGGTTTCATAAGTTGATGCAAGTTCACATAAATATATGGCAGTGCTATGTTCTAAAAAGGGAGTTGAAAGTTCATGAATCCATGCTCTTATAAGTAGCCAGTGAAGTTGTTCGAGAATGGGGATAGTGGCTGTTGTCAGGTGTGCATGTAGAAATCCATTATTCATAGTTTGAATAATTTTAATATACCAGTATTACTTGATATAACTTGTTACAATATTTCTTTATTTGACAGGTTCTAGGAACAGATTGCCTTCCCTCTCTGACAATGATTCTTCAGCATCATCAAGTTCAACAGCTACAATAGTAGCATGTAGCAAACAATCTGAAAGGCAACCCAAGCCAAGAGCTAGGAGTGGTAAGATTATATTGAGATATTTTCAGATTATATATGTGCACATTCTGAAGTCACTGTATTAAAGCCAAAAAAAAATTAATTTATAGAGACATATATAAGGTCTTAAGCAGTTGCCAGTAACTTAATTATTGAAAGTTATTATTAAATATATATTCAGATTTTTCCTCTCTCTCCCAGGAATGAGAGTTGAGCTGGAACGCCTGCTTCAAAAGTATAGCAAAAATATCATTAGGAATGCAAACAATGAACAGTTATGCAAAGCCCTTTTAGAAAAAGGTGTAATTGACGAGAAAGATGTGAAAGAAGTAGAATACAGCCCAGAAGCTACGTGCATGGAAAAGAATGAAGTTTTGCTCACTTTACTCACACAGAAAAATGATCAAGCATTTAATGCTCTTTGTGAGGCATTACGACAGAGTGGGCTTGCTGATACTGGACAACAAATGGAAGAAGAGAGTGCTTCCATTCCAAGTAAGTTCTGCATGCTTTGTAAATAAGGAAAAATATGGATCACTGAATATGAGAAATTTTATGATTTGGTGTATTTTGGAGTGTCATAAGTGACTATTTTCTGCAAATGTGGAATTGCATACAGGATTACAATGCCATTCTTTCTTATGAAAGCCTGAACAAAAAGAGCAAAAAAAAAAAAAAAAACAAGTTAAAAGAATTATTCTCTAAAATAATAAGATGTTGGAACTGTTAGAAAGTGAACTGCAGTAGGTGAAAAGGTTAAAAAGTTGTGCCTACTCATATACTAAAGATACGGTAATGTGCCATGAATTTCGAACAGTAAAAAATAATTAAATTTGGGAAAAGATCGTTCTGGCCGAAATTCATGAAAAGGAGGTGCTCAGAACTCCTGAAAGTTCGAATTTCATGGAATTCTGTCAATTTTGACCGGAAGTTGTCTGTTCGTCGCTAGGCCTTCTGTTATCTTCTCCCGACGATCTANTGCAGTTTTCCTCCCAGGAAATTATCCCACCTTTTATTACATGAAAAAACTAATAGCTCAGTTGCCCTACTCAGATCTCTTCAAGGCCCATTTCACATCTTTTTAAATCTCATTGAGGATATTGTTATCACAAATCATGCCTTCTTTGCCAGCCTGTATCATGAGGTTGTCAGGGGGATTCTTGCCAGAAAAACCTAAGCCCTTTCATATCAGTCTTGTCATTGTTGCTGCATACCTTGTATGGTATCGTATTTAAAGGGGTAATAACTCTTCGTATGAGATCTATATTTCACAATAAAAACCTTGTGAATAACTCATAGAAATATAATATATTCTGTTTTACCACAAAAACAGCAGTTATAGCTATTATTCTGATATCTGAGCTTGTCTTTAGACCACGTGACCTCCATTGATGGCTATACTGTTTAACAAAACAGAACCAACAAAAAACAAAAAACCAAACTTTTTAGAAAAAAACCAGGGACCAACTTTGAATGTAAAAATGGATTCATTAACCAATGGAAAGTATGGCAAAATTGTTGTTTACTCCAGGAAAATTCATTTTTGGCCGAAACGAAGAGTTATTATTGCTTTAATCATCTATTCTTCACAAATTTCACCTATCCAAAGATCTGGAAGTTCTTTACAACGGCAAAGCATCCTGTACGCTCATACACAGTGATTGTACAGATGAAAATTTCATTGTAATAAAAACAATTTTTATACATAGTTTGAATGCTTATGCTCAGGGACAACTAAGAGGGTATAATATAAAATAATCCTATGCAGTTACATTTATTGCCCCCCAAATGCTTAACCATTACATGTAGCTACCATCATCTTAAACATTAGAATTGCAGTCCTAGCACCTGGCAGAGAAACAAGAATTTACCCGAAAATCAGCAAACCTATCATGTATCTTATTGACCAGACCAAGCGTTCTTCCATACCAAAAGGAAAGAAAAGATATTAAAAAGCTAAATGAGGTCTGGATTGAGCACATGCAAGATGGCTCCTCCTTATTCCAATATTTTGTCACTGAGTGGAGATCTAATGATGGCGTGCCATATGAAATATTGAAAACAAGACGACTTTCAGTCTTTTGGTTTTCCACATAAGTAGGTCCTGTTTATTTCCAGTACGACAAGATTGTGTCTAGAAATCTAGAAATTTTGTGCTTTATAATTGAGACCAAAATTTTGTGCAGTCAGCAGAATGTATCTCTCCAGGGACATGAAGCACACAAAATACTGTTGTCATTTTTTTAAATAGAAGCAAGGACAAATGATCATGAGCTGTTGCGCAATCATCTTTCAAAAAAGCAGTACTAGCAAAGATTCTACCACTTACCTATCACCAGATACACAGAATGAAATTATTGAAATTGCCAGCAATGTTATTAAGGATGACATAGTGAAGGACTGTAACAAAGCTCCCTGTTTTGGTTTCATCACAGATGAAGCAACCATGACGTCGGCCCAGCAGATACTGGAAGAATTTATAGGCTTTGAACAACGGGGGAGGTTTTAGTACAATCGTTTTTAGCAGAAGTGCAGGGAGTGGTAACATGCATCATGTCACAAATAAATACTTCGTTCTGAAAGCACGTGAAATTTGTCTCTTGAGGAGCAGAGTTTGACATGCCATTGAAAAAATATTTTAGAAGGCCCTGAATCAACCAACTCTCCACAATTAACTTTCAGCAAAGCATTGCCATTGTTCAGAAAGATATCGCAGAGGATACGGTGGGAGGAGAGGAGGGGGGGGAACAAATCTGCCTCCACGGGCTCCTGTTCCATGTAGTAACATGCTGGTAGTGTCACTGATGGCACCTCTCTCTCACCTCTTCTATCCCCCGGTGGGACTGGCTCCATTATGATACTTTTCAAAAGAAAATGTTTTACAAGCAGTGCAAAGAAGCAGCCCTAAAGAATTCCTTTACTGATGGGAGTGCAACTTATAAAACTTCCAGCTTGAAATGGCATGAGGAGACTGCAGATCACCAGGGAGCTAGTCGCTGCCTGGCGCTGAGTGCTGACATGTCTTCATCATTGAAGAAAGCTCATAGTGCTTGGATGTCTCTGAATAACAGCGTTTGACACTTGCACTCGCCAGCTCGCCAATGCGAGTTAAAATTAAATCTGGCGAGTGAAAATGATGGTGCAAGTCGCCATTTTGGCGATTAATGTCAACTTACTGTATCAAGTTTATCGGCAAAATTTAGACTCAATTTAAGTCCGACTAGTATGCCAAAAATTACAGGGAAGTTCGTGGGATTACCCTTACTGCTAACCTCGTTTTCACTCTCATAATCGTGATTGCTTGAAAGTGGGGAATTCCGTAATGACGTATTCACAGTCTCGCTGTCATTTTTGAAAGCATCTAGCCTTCGTTTGCGCGCCGGATTTTGACGAAGTATAGGAAATGCTGTCTGTTTCGTTTCACTTGCGTCTTGCGATTTTGCGCAGTTGACGCTTCCGGGAGAAAACGTGATGCACGTGGATCATCAAGCTGCATGGAAAAGTTTTTTAAAATTTCAAAACGCCAAGTAGAAGAGACTGAGAGTAAGAGCGTCGCAGAATTGGCTTCAACTTCAAGTGGTAAGTAAACAAAATCAAAGCAGAAACGAACTAATAGTCTGAGCTCTTTGACCCAACGCATGTTTTTGACGTTTTCTGATTTTTTTTCCTGAGCGGAACAAAAAAAGAAAAAAGGGGGGGAGCGGGTTAAATGCGTGCGACGTGCAACGTGTGTAGGGTAAGAGAAATTGAATTACATAGCGCACGCTATTACAGTACAGTGCAATACTATACAAATAATACAAAATAATGAATTTTATTTCAACTCGGATACAATTGAATCTTTTAACAATCTCGTTAGGTTTTCAGCAGTTCACCGACTGCATCTCCGTCAGTGCGACTTACGGAGTTCACCCTGAATATCACAAGTTCTCTAATAATGATAGTGCTTAATTTAACCTCATTTTAATATTTATTTTGAAACGAGTATTTCTTTATATATATTTATTAAGACCCCATATCTGAACGGTCTACTTGTTTGTCCCAATTGTTGATTTTAACGTTGTTAAATGTTTAGCTCTTTTTCACATGTACCAGTAATTGATTATGTCTGACTCAGTGATTGTGTTGGCAGTCTTTAATAAACTTGACACTTAAAAATTGCAGGTACCAAACCAAAAACACCAAGAATTGAAAAAAGGGATGCAGTGACAGTGATGAGGGGTTTGATGACAGTTATAGTGATTCAGATGAAGACAATGAAATGACTGAGAAGGATGTGGAGCAGTTTTTAAGACAAAATTGATCTTTATACTGACTTTTATCTCTTCATCGGTATCAGGACAATTTCACCCCGGCCGATTCCCCCCAAAGAATATATATTTATGTACAAATATATAGTAAAGAGCATGAAGCTTAAATCCTTGCATCTATTGTATGAATATTTCTTGGTGTGATGATGCAACTTAAAGATACAAAATATAAATTTCATTAAACAAATTATGTTCACGGAGTACAAGTTCAGAAAATTTTAGAAATATAAGTACAGAAAATTTTATTAAAAATCTAATCAAAGTATCTCTAGGTAAAGTGGGGTAAATAAATATGCATATAGTTTATGTTTAATTTAGATTAGAATGTGCAAAATCTGTAGACTAAAGAATAAACACAGTTCTAGGTTTAAAAAAGGTTTTAAATTTTTTTTCTTTATTTGCTTATGATAACATCTCCATCATGAGTCATTACCACATGGCCTGCACTTTGAATATTTGGCCAGTAACTTCGTAATAAAGCTGGCCAAAGTATGGCTTGTGCATTTTCGGTTTGGCCAGTAACTTTCACAGCACACTGGCCAAATTGGCCTGTACTATTTCAAACGAAGGTCAAACACTGTGAATAACCGACTTAGACTGTGTTTCAATGCACGTAAGAATGTAGGCAATTAAGCTTTTGAAAGAGCTACCCTAAAGTATGGGTGTGGGAGTCCTATTGTTTACATTTTGATGGACAAGTAATTCATAAAGAAACTGTATATGTCATCTACCTTCAATTTTGATAAATCAGATTTTGTTTTACTTCTTCTTGATGGTTTCATCTAATAAAAAAAGTGCATTTTTTCAGTTAATTCTGTATGGTGCTTTTTCATGCAGGTAAATGCTATAAAAATGACATAATGCTCTTGAAAAAGACTGGTTTGATAGGCACATCGAACACTGTCAGTTTCTGGAGAATTTTTGACCTTTTTATTTATATTCTTAAGTTACTAATTGGTCTTGTATTTTAACATTAATTTCAACCAACTATTATACATTATTCACATAATTTCCACTCAAAATATAGATATTTTGAATATATTTCTTGTGTTAAAAAATGGCCAATTAGCTTTACGCAATGGCCCATTGGTTTGCAAAATTGCCCATACAAGGGTTCCCAAAAGAGGCCATTTTCCCATAGGTGGCTTGAGCCTTCCTAATCACTGATAAAGTCTATTGAACATATCATCAAACAGCTGACTGACAAATCAGCATCAAGGAAACATATCTTCAATGAGAAGGCAAAAAAAAAAAAAAAATGCGAGGGATTACAGCAATCTTTTGATGTCATCTTGCAGGAAATTGACATTCACATTTAAAATTATTTAACAAACCATTAACTTTTGGTTAAGGTCAATATGTTGTTTTGCAGACCTCAGCCAAGGTCAACTGTGTATCATTTTCCACTAGCCAAGTGAAATAAATATGGTTCAAAGATCTTATTTTGTATTTCTGCATATCTCCCTGATTTCCTAAAGTGGAATGAAGTGATCCACCACTTGGAGTGTCACAATAAAAACATGATAATAAATAGGCAGAATAAAATATGTATGAAAAAAATACACCTTAATGCTTTTATCAGTCACACATTGATAAAACAGCACAAAAAAGGCATGTGTTGCCTTTCAAAAGGAGACTGCATTGTCAATGACAGATTTCATTCAGAGACTTGGCAAATGTCTTGGTCAATTGTCCATCTTACTGCCATATATGAACATAAAACTAACCAGGGCCTAACTTACATGGTTCCACTTTTCTTTTTATATTCTTCTGAAGTTAATGAGCAACTGTATCCTCATGCTTTGGTTTCTTCCTTTCTGGTTCACATTCTTCACTGTTCCCTATCTCTGAAATTTTGAAAGGTAGCAATAAAGACATTTTTAAAAAATTGATGTTTTTTATATAACAGAATCTTTATTGTTAACATTTTGTTATACCCAGAATCAGTGTAAAGTGATGCACATGAAGACAGCAAAAAATTTAAATGAACTCAATGTTATAAAAATTAAGAGTTCTAAAATAAACCTTTCATGGTGATGAGTCTTATAGTGGGGCTGGAGTAGAACATAATACAGGATACTGAATGGTCACAACACATTTAGCTTTTCAGGATCATGATCTTGTATAATATGTTGCAATACTGTCACAACTAACACACTCACCTTCATTCTCACCCTCCCACAACAGCACACATTTGTCCAACTGGAATATAACGCAATACATGTCCTTTTTGGGTGCTACATTCCTCACAAACCGTATCTGGACTTTCTGTGCCACCTCTTTACTCAGATAAGTGGCAACTCTTTCCCTGATGTCCTCCAAATGGTCTGATGCATTGCTAAAACAGTAGCAGTACACCATTGGTAAGACAGAGTTTTCGTGGAGAATTGTGGGATGACCAGAAAGAAGTCCTTTAAAACTGTCCAGAAATTCGAGTGCCATTGCTGGTAAGTTCATAACAAAGTGCACTGACTGCAGAGGATATTTATCCTCCCTGTACCAAGACACTAAATCTGCCTTTGCAACTGTTCTGATGAATTCTCTGCCATCTAAGTTATATGTCTGGACTTGGCCACCAACTTTGTTCAATTTCAAATTCTCCTGTAGCCACTTGTGAGATTCAGGGTTTAGATCGTTTGCTAGAACTGTGCATTTCTTTTTCCCTGCTGGCACTGCAAATGGGCCAATACCAGCAAATACATCATACAGTTTGTCTCCAGGTTTCAGCAACTTGACAATCCGCTCGTGTTCTGTACCTAGATACAAAAGTAATTCACTTTTAAAATAGCTGTGGTACATATACTGAATCATTCTAAACAGTTGAACCAAAAGATTCAAATATTTCCTGTTGTGCTCTAGGAATGGCTAGGAATTCTAACTGCAGTGTCTCAAAGGATTCAGCTTATCACCGAGTAGAAAAGTCAAGCATTTTATAAGCTGAAGGCAACGCAACATTAGGGTGAAACATGCAAACTATTATTTTTACCAAATGCTTAAAGTTATTAAAACAAACAATGGCTGATCCAGAGTATCAAATTGGAGGAAGGGGGAGGGGTACCGTATTCCAAAACATGTGCACCATTTTTCCCCTACCTCTATCCCACATGGCAGTGCTTACTACATGAAATGTGTCTCAGTGTTCATTTTTCCCCCTCTCAGGAATTTGGTTGTATGTGGGTCAAACTTTTTATTTTAGGAAAAAAGAGGGGGAAATGTATCTGCTAATACAAACAAAGATAATATTTCAAATTTAACAAAATTATTTCTAAGGAAATACGTTCATCTATAGACCTCCCCCCCCCCAACACACACACACACACACACACAAAGATTCACTACCACCACCAGGGTGATTACCAAGTCTAGAATTCCAGTAAACTTTGGAGAAATCCATCTTGTATTGGCAGCCGTTTTCTTTAGCTGTGGTAATGAAGTTATCCTCCCCTGCTATCACCTCCATTTGGAAATTCCTGAAGGTGTTGTCTATTGTGTTGGTCTTGTTAACAACTGTTTTAATGGTTTTAAACTTGTCTATGAGGACTTGACCTAGAGAGGGATGATAAAGAAGCTGTGTACAGTAACAGATACAGCATTGAAATAAGAATGTGATAACTTTTAATAAGAAATCAAGATAAAGTGTAGACCATGTAGTATTGAGTAAATCATATATAATATTCTGTTTTAAAATCATCCATTAATTGCATCCCAGAAATCAAAGGCACAAATGCAGATATTCTTTTGCATCAGAATAGCAAGATTGCCTGATAAGCAATATATCACTGAAATAAACTATCTTACATACACTCAAACTTTCATAAGAGGCAAAAATATAGGGCAATTTGGAATCGCGCTTGGATCATAATGGCAAAAGACTAATGAATTTTTATCAGTCTGGACCAAAAGTGCAAACAAGATGCGATTTACTGAAAGTCAGAAAATATGGGGTTCAGGGGACCACCTAGGCCAATGATAATTTTGGCTCCTAAAAAGTTAGCAAACTGCTGCTAACATTCAAAAAAAGATTTTTTTTATTCAATAATCAANCAAGAGCCGTTCGAAATTCATGGCACTTTACCGTAATATTGTTTTAATGTGGTTGAAATACAATCTTTGATGAATGTTAATTAGTTTGGTGCCATTTTACTATCAAATGAAGTACTTGAAATTTGTCAATATAAATATAATTTGATTAATGTTGATAATGGTTCAATTAAATGTCAGAGGTACTTGAAAAAATCAGTAAGCATTTAGTGATAAAATAAACCCTTATAAATGACAATTATTTGTCCTTGAAAGGCACTTATTGGAGCCTCAAAAGTCGTTGAAGGTCCTTGAATTTGACCCTCACTTTGCTGTAAGAATGCTGTTTTCAATGAGCTAGCCCAAGCTAGTCAGTTTGGAGGTTGGCTGGTTCTGATTGCAGAAGTCTTCATAATGATATATACCAGGTGAGCAGTTGGTGTGAGGATGATGATAGTGCAGAGTTTAATGTGTCTTCTTATTTATATTTTTTAAAATGTGCACTGAATGCAATTTTGTCCATTAAACAGTGGTTTGGAGTCCACCGGAAAACACTACTGTATCTTCATCAATGAGAGTAGGCGATTCAATGATTCCTCCATTGGCAGCAGAACGGACATCCACACTGATAACAGGGTCTACACCCAGTAAAGGTATAGTTCTGACAGAAGAGACATTAAATATACAGTATCATCACAACTGGCTACAAAATAATTTCCCTCACCTTGGATCAGATTACTGTACCTCCAGCATAGGGAGTTTTTTTGAGCCAATCAGTGCATTTTCACAGGAGAAGCAGCCATTAGATGCTAAAACTGAAAGCTCTCTCAAATTCCTTATGAACTGTAAATGCTAGAGATCTCTTATTTGTTTTTGTATTTTTGAGAGCTTGTGGAAGTGCAATAATGGAAGTGGTGTTTTTTATTTTTTATTTTTTTTCGTACAGCTTCAGAGTTGCGCTATATCAGAAAATACAGCAGCACAATATTCATCAGTGAAGATAAAATTTGAAATAACCCCAAATTAGCTGAGATACACCCATAGTTATTATTTCCAGTATATATATATATATATATATATATATATATATATATATATTGGAAATGATAACATCTTTTAAATATGTACTAGTAGTACTAGTCAGTCTATTGGAAAGTATTGAAATGTAGAACGGACTTGAAAACCAAAACTTTTCATTATTGCTTTTATTGAAGTTGAAAGTATTTAATATTAACTGAACAGAAGGTTTGGATACAATTGTAAATCATTTAGAGGGTGAAAAGAGTCATATATATTGGCAATCTTACTATGACCTTGAATTTGACCTTTGACCTGCTTTTCATCATCTGTATATTTACTTTGGGAACAATATCGCCTCTCTGATCCTCTAGTTTGACTGTGAATGTAATAATGTTATATAACAGTTCTTTTTGAGTATTGTATATTTTGAGATTGCAGGTTGTACTAAAAAAGGTTAACTTTTCCTTTTTTTTCCAGAAAAATGTGTGACCAATGTGATAAAGATTACAAACAGCAGTGTTAATGTGGTTATTGGAGATCAGAACCAGCAGAATATAGTACACCCAGCAAAACGTAAGTTACATGTACTTTTTTTAAATAACTGTTAACGTTTACCAATTTATTTGTATTCATAATTTTCTTAAGTACCATGATTATATGCATGTACCTTTAAGGCATAGATTAGAATTATAAGATTAAAAAACGCTACTCAAGAGTGCATTCATTCCGCCTAAGTAATTATGGAAAAAGGTACAGTTGTTAAAAAAGAATGTTTAATTTAACACAAGTTAAAGTGAGAATTACCTGAGTGCCTTTTAGAATTTTTGGAATGACCAGGTTATAAGCATATTATATATATATATATATATATATATATATATTTGTGCTGTTTCACGATCAGGGGTACAAAATAGGGGTCACATTGAGAGAAAAATGAACTCTGATGCATTTGTTTAATTTTGTAACAGATAAAGAGAATAACATCTACAATGATATGTACATCTACTATGATATCTACTATTTTTAGAGCACAAGATTAATTACTTTTTGTGCTACGCTCAAATTAACAGAATGCCCCTTAGACTATGATCTGGGGGTACGGACACTACACATTCAAGTAACTGATGCTTTTGTAACTAAAATATCATATTGTTTACCAGTTATTTTTGCCAAAAGTCTAAAAAATGTCAAACTAAAGATATAACAGCAGTACTTTAACCAAAAGGATACAAGTACATGTATTAATCAAAGGGTTTTTTAGAGAAACACCACAGCACATTTTTCAGTGGATGCTGGAGCTTGGTTGTGTGTCATTCAGTGTGACTTTCATTTACCAGACTTTAATTTTACCTTTTCTTTCTGTTGCTTGACCTTTTTTATCTATTCATTTTTTTTGTTTCAGTCTTGATTCCTGTTTTTGGAGTCTTTTCTTTTTCATCTCTCGTTAATTTGCACCTCTTGTTCTACTGTTTTCAGGATGGTATTGCTCTGCTAACCTGGTCATCTCATCAACAGTCCTTGGCTTCCTTTCTTTTAAGAACACTGACAGTTCATTGGAGCATGTCGACATGAATTGCTCTCGTATGATGAGGTCATTGAGGCTTTCTACTGTATCTTCAACTTCTGAGAGTTCTTTCCATCTTTGATAATATCTCTTCATCCTAGCAACAAATTGAAACACCGTTTCCCCACTGTCATGTTTACAGTTTCTGAACTTAACACGAAACCCTTCTTCGGTCAGCATATATCTCTTCAACAAGGCTACTTTCAAGTTGTCATAGTTATTAGCTTCCTCAGCCGGCATACTAGAATACGCCTGGACACCTTTACCAGTTAACAATGGGCTTAGACTCACTGACCAACTCTCTCTTGGCCACTGCTGACTAGAAGCAAAGCGTTCAAAACGATCTAAAAATGCATCCATGTCATCTTTATTTTCATCAAATGCAGGTAACTTTGGGCGTGGCGCCTTAACACTTGTTTCACTTGAGGTACTTGCACTGAATTTGGTCTTCTGTTCGCCCAATTGTACCTGGAGCTTCATCTTTTCTATTTCCATATGCTCCTTCTCTAATGCCCGTTGCTGTCCCCCGGGCCGATTCGTCATGTATATATATTGTAAATACTATCCAGAATGAATATCTTTAACGTAATTAATGAAAAAAAAAATGTGTTTTTTTTTTCTGGTAAAAACGGAAGGCATGTTCAGACCAGTATATTTTAAATTTCCTTTGATCAGAGTCGCGGGCATGTGCACGCGGCTCAATTAGTTTATAGTAATTACTCTTATCTTTAGACGCTCTTTCCCTCTACCCTATCGCAGTAATCACTCTTATCTTTAGACGCTCTTCTTATCTTTAAACTCGTAAACTTAAAGGTCTGGCACGCCGGTTTTAAGTATAAAGAAGGCTACGAAGCCAAATAAAATTCAGTTTGTGATTTTGTAACGAAACAGTGGTGTTGCGTTGATATTCTCTCTGAGCATAACTCAAGTCGGGAATCGTGTACCGAACCTTGGAACTTCACGTTTGCGTTAGAGCCCTTAGAAGTAATTTTATACCCGGTGGGATATTAAAGAACTCAGTACTACACTTAGCACTCTACAATTCTATGTCACCACACTGTATCACTACAGCACACTACCACCTACATGTACTGTTACTACACTTCACTTAATTACACTCCCGTAATTTAACACTGTTGAATATATCCACACACTGTACTTCTTGTAATGTAAACACAACTAAAGGTAACACTAAATCATCATACCAACACATTGCACACTTTTGTAATGCACAACTCCACTATAGGGTACAACTGTATTACTGCTAACCACTGTTAGACAATACCAACACATTACACACTTTTGTAATGCACAACACCACTATAGGGTACAACCGTATTACTGCTAACCACTGTTAGACAATACCAACACATTACACACTTTTGTAATGCACAACACTACTGTCACTGATAACATTTAAGTGTCAGTTGATCAACTTGAATAAACACTGTCAGCTGCATGAGCTATAATGTTCATTACACCAGTCCACATCCAGTATCACATGGCACACAACTGTAGCTAACGGTATGATAGCATATGTTCCAGTCAGTTCGTTTCACTACACTGAGCATCGCACAGTTATTATAGTTATCAAGGCTGCAACTCACGGCACATGTTGAAATCAGTTGTTCCACAGTCAGCATTGTTCCGCTGTCTTTATTCAGCTCCCGGACGAGCCCCCAAATTGTCAAAAAAAAACAACAGCGCATTTGCATATGTTCTGAATGTCTCCTTTATTATTTTCGAAATTTTAAGATTTCCACTGAATAAAGATCAACAGCGCATTTGCATATGTTCTGAATGTCTCCTTTATTATTTTCGAAATTTTAAGATTTCCACTGAATAAAGATCAGTTTCCAGATTATCACAGTACATAATGCAACAGTAACTAATGCAATGTAACAGAGAGGTACACGTGTACTTGCCGCCGATTCCTATCTTGGTTAGTTTATGCCGTAACTTGGCGCATTTATGGTATCAAAGCATTCAGTGCAGTCCACGGAACATCAACACAGTCTTTTCCAACAATAAATCCCATAACTACAACGTCCAGCGCTTAAAACGCTTCCACACTCTGTCTGAAACAGTAACGCACCGCATGGCCCCCGACTCTCCTCTCTTCTCTTTTTTTCTCTATTTTCGATCTCCGCACCCAGGAGAGCTTAATTCTCTGACACTGACAGTAAAATATTCAGAATCCCCTTTTCTTTTCCTGTTTGGCTTTTTGTTTATTGTCATCCATATTTGATACTTCATTCACTGAGAGTATAATAAATGTACTGTTAATTGTACCACCAGCGTTAGCGCTGGCGGTACACATGGTTTTAGTCCCATCCGGTCCGTTCCGCCGGCTCCGCCGCCATCTCACCGTTACCGCTTCTCCTCCTAGACGGTAAGGGCTGCCATACCCATCTCTTGGATTTAGGTCACCTATAATCTCAACTCATTCCACGTAAAATTTGGGCTTTGTCGGAATTGGGGTCTAGGTGTGACACTCATTGCAATGCACCCTTGTCCAAAAATGGCAAAATTAAATGCTAATTATCCACCCTACGGAAGGAGTTATGGGAAAAATTTCTACAGACAGCTTTCCAAAAGTCATATGTGTAGATTTCAAATATGCCCTTGAATTTGACCTTTGACCTTTATTTCAAGGTCAAACGGGCCAAAATTTTCAAAAAAATGAATTTTTTTACGAAAAAAAATTATTTGCGCTGTTATTCAGACACCACACAGACTTAACCAATAACATTATTGGAGAGTGTTACCCTTTGGGTCATCTTTCATCTCCGTGAATTTGGGGTCAATCGGTGCATTTTCACGGGATTAGCGGCCATAAGATACCGAAACTGAAAATTGTTTCTAATTCGGGAACCGTTAAAGATGCATACAAAGTCAATTTTTTTGTCACAAAAACCAACCAAATGCCAGCATATAGTTTCAAGTAGTATAGCTAAGAGAATTACCAAAAGGCATTGTTTAATTTTACCCGAAAATGATGTTTGAACGGATTTTTCTGCTGGCCTTCTAAGCTGTATGTCAATGGGGCAGGAAAGTAGGTCACGAAAGTAGGTTAAATTTACAACCATAAATTTAAAGAAAGGAGCAGTCTAAAGGTCTTTTATGGGTGATCAAGTGATCTATTCAGTTTATCCCTTCGCATGTCGAATTCATTTGAGTCATATAAGAATCTAGTACAAGTGGTTTACATATGTTACTGGGAATCCGCACTCCACTGATGCTCGGTTCGTATGTACATTTAATGCTAGAGACCCATTCTTTTTTGCATTTTGTAGAACATGTAAAGCCCAACACTGGAGGTGGTCTCTGTTTTTTTGTATTCCATACAGTTTTCAAGTTACGCTGTATCAAAAAGTACATATTGGTGGTGAAAGCAAAATGTGCAGTAATGGATAATAAATTTTGAACTCCGGAAAAATAAAACATAAAGCTTGGCGAGGCAAACAACTTGTGGTCAAAAATGACATTATTTCATCAAATTTGAACATCTGGAACTTCAGAGCACCTCCCATTTCAAGAATTTTGACCAAAATGACCATTTCTTTATTTTAATTAATTTTTTCTGTACGAAATTTATGGCACATTATTGTAACTCCAAAATTATAACATTTAGTCCCTTATATTTCCAAAACTGGCAGAGATAGGTCCATAGTTACTGTTGAAGTTGAATAGGAAGTCATATACTGGCAATCGAAATGTCGCCTTGAAATTGACCTTTGACCAACTTTTTACCATGAACAGAACTTTGCAAATGTTGTTCCCTTTTATCTCCAACACTGGCAGAGATAGGTCCATAGTTACTATTGAACTTGAATAGGAAGTCATATACTGGCAATCTAAATGTGACCTTGAAATTGACCTTTGACCTACTTTTTACCATAAACTGAACTTTGCAAATTCTGTTCCCTTTTATCTCCAAAACTGGCAGAGATAGGCCTATGGTTACTATTGAACTTGAATAGGAAGTCATGTATTGGCAATCTAACTG